ATTACAAGAAAATCTCCTTGTGTATAATATGTAAATAATCTAAGGTAATTACTTGGAGAACACTTAACTCTCCGTCCCCCCATTCGACAAAACTCGAATCAGGTTTAAGTGATCGATAATCGGTCACGCGACAACGATGTGTATTCTTACTGCTGAAGAATGTATAATTCCAATTCCGTGGGAAATCTAAATTGCGTCATAATACATGCGACTTCGTGATATACATCGACGTATGTAGAGCAATTTTTAATTATTTAATAAAATACCAGGCGACTGCAAAAAGCAAATATTTTCTTTGCGTTGTCACGCATATGGGAATGTCAAGAGAAAGTGGAAAGGAGCCGCAACGAAAACTTTATTTTGTATATGCGCCACATCAAACGTGCGCGAGTAAATTAATACGGTTGAGAAAATATAAACGATTAGGGAGCATTCCAATTACAATAATGCAGCGATGGCACAAACGCGCGTGCACGCATACGCATACGGACACGCAACCGGGAGGAGCAAAAGGGAGACCCTTACCGTATGTAATCAGACACAATTGTGGATTTGTGCCGCCTCGCGCGGTAATTAGTGCTGAAAATTCGCGTCGGAATTACCAGGGCCATAAAATATAGCTGCTTTATGGCATAAAAGCTAATTAGTGGCACGTGCTCGCGGCAACGAGACGCGCAGGATACAATTAGTAACGAATCGCGGCAGCTGCGTCGACTGAGGAAAATACAGCGAGCGCCGACGGGAAAAATATGTAAATGTTTGGAAAAACAAATTATCCCGAACAAATTGTCCAGTAGCGATTTGGTAATTGCCATTTTATTAGCATGAATATCAAGAGCCACGGCGCGCCGTACTTGGTGAATAAAGCTGCAACGAAATCGTTGTTTAACATCGGAATTGTTCATAACTCCTATAATACCGAAACGCCGAATACTAAAAAATATTACAAGGTGCTGGAAAGAATTTAAAGTATTAATAAAGCGCTACAGCACGTAAGAAAGTTATGTTAATGAATGCAATAAGAATATTGTTTGCGGACAATAACTTGCCAGTACATACACATATTGCTTATAAAATTTGAATTATAAAATAACTTTTGCAAAGAATATATTAACTGATCCTTTTGGAAAATAATCAAGTATATCGGAGACAAATATTTCGCGAAGTTTCCTAGTAATTTTTTAATCCCAATTAATAGCGAGAATCATGTTCGAAAAACTTCACGGAAAGAAGATAAATGATTCGTGTCAGTTGGCGGAAGTTACATTTGCATGTTGTACGCAGAGATCGGTGTCTTGAAAGGTTATCGTATTATCTACTTCGTTAGCGGAATAATTGGATTTGCGGTTAGACAATATCCTGGCACGATCCCAGGAGTGTGCGGCCACGCGCGTTTTTAGTATCATACCCGTATCGTGATTAGCAGTAGCTAATAAATATTCGCCGATGAATATATTGACAGCTCACCGCGAAATAGAAGGTAAGAGCGGGGAGAACAGGGAATGGAGAAGTGGAAAGGGAAAGGGAGATGTAACAGAGAGTTATTGTAAGAGGCGAGAGAATGAAATTCACCGAGCTTCATATCGCGGTCGTTACTTTTCACCCCTTAGAATTTATTCTCCTCTTTCTCGTATGCGTTTTTCGTGGATTGCACGGAAAGAGAGAAGGAAATGGAACGGCGGAGGAAACATGACAGATAGAGAAACCGAGGGAGAGAATACGCGAGGAACGAGAGACGGGAGGAAGAGGTGCGGGATCAAAGAGGGAAGGATAAAGAGAGAAACTCTCCGGCAGGCGTGAGAGTGCACGCGGCGGAGGAGGAAAAAGAAATGTGGAGAAGAGAAGAAGGATAGAGAAACGCGATGGGGGTAAAAGTGAAGGAGAGCAAAATGGGCGAAGGAGAGGGATGCGAGAGCGTGAGTCGGAATCGGTGCCGTGAGGGATTTCGAAGAAGGCAATATTTCAATCGACGTCAGATTTATCGACCTCCCACGCCGCCCGGCTACACGAAATGGCCAGCGCGCACGTGTTACGTGCCACTTCGCGAAGTGGTCTCATGCCTCTCGCGGCTACCTGGCTGTCCGTCTGATCGCCATCTGCGTTCCGCCTGTCAATGCGCCGCTATACGCGTATCTCATCCTCATGAGTATCTCATTTCAATGATTGAGCGCGGGGCGGCTCCTCCATCGCGGTGGGACCGCTTTGACCGCTCATTCCGATCATCGCGCGGATATACGTCATATTTAACCAATGTCAAATTTGCTACCTACCCTACCCTCTCCGCGATCTGTCATAAACAAATGGAGATTTAATACTTTGCCACGGAGCCAACGACACAATATGCGTCGAGACAAATATTGAAAAGTTTGAGTGTAGGGCGCCCTTTCTCAACTTTGCTTTGTCCCGTAAGAACTGAATTTGACACGCCTGGTCTACAGAAAGGTCTACCGTTGGCCATATCGACCAGATGCTAGTTGTTTACTACTTTCTAACTCCAATATATTTTGATCTATGTTTACGGGAACGTATAAATAAAGTGTAACGCACTGTTACTTTAGATGTGGAATTTAAAATATATAAATTATATGTTTTATTTAAGTGAAAAAATATGTCTCAAAAAACAAGAAATTGTTAATTGTAAAAATTAACTCAGTAATATGTTTGCCAAGGTCTTGTTTATTAATCATAACTGTTGAACAATATACTATTTAAATATTTTATATATAAATAGATTGCTCTCTTAAAAAATAAAAAAATTGTTAATTATAAGAATTGACGAAAACAGAATGATTATAAAATGATACAAATTGGTCATTTTGTCAATGCAATCGTAAAAGAGTATTAAGTAATTTTCCAAGGCTATCTGAATCACGCTTGCGACCGATAATTCGGTGATACACTCGCCGAGTTCCTGTTTATTAATCACAACTGTTGAACAATACGGAAGTTGGGCTACTGCACGCTGTAGTTTCACCTTTGGAGCTTACAGTTCGGCTCAATGTAAAGCTGGGATAAAATTCACCCCGTAACGTTACTCTCTCGTAACAATTGCAGATAGCACCGCGTACACACGCTGGCAAGATTATTGTTATAGTTATTATTATCGCCGTACCGCGTTACGATAATCCGCATACCTACATATTTGGTTTCTAAGCGTTCTAGAATCCCTCAGCATGCTAAGCAGGCGAATTTCGTCTCCAGCAAGTTTGTGAGCAGTTTCCGCCGCTTTCGTTTCACGATCGTTTAACGAGGCCAACGATAGTGTCGTGTGCAAATTTACTGTGCATATTTGGATCGACGATTGTATAATATTACATCTGTCGCACCGTCCATTTTCGACTTATTTGACCGATATCAACCGCGCGATACAAGCGGCACGGTGAGACGGCGGACGAGACGACGACGTCTGACAATGGCGAAAAAATCGGAAAACAAAAGTCCACAGGCAACACACGGACGGAATCTATTTGATCGCACAGCGCGTTCGAGTATGTGGATTGGGTTGTTGCACATAAGAGGTTGCTCGGGGCGTTATGGGATTCTGCGATAGAGGCGACGGAGGAGAGACGTACGTAAGGAGCGAGGGGGAGA